CTCTCTCTCTCTCTCTCTCTCTCTCTCTCTCTCTCGCTTGCTGTCTCTGTCTGTCTCGCCATACAGGCCTCATGACTGGACCCTCCAACAGGCAAACCCTCACTCTCTCCTGCAACCAAAAAACTAACAAATAAACTTGGCTCTGAATCCAAGGCCACTAGTGCTTTTGATCTCGGTTACAAAGCAAGACAATTCTTGGAGACACAAAGTCCTGATTTATTTATGAAATGCGATGGACATCTTCAAGGCGGGAACGAAAGACTCACTGGAGCCCAAGTTCTTGTTGCTACACAGTGAATGGCTCTTTCCAACCCAAGCCCCCCACATGTCCTCTTGTTTCTGCTAAGAGTCTTTCCTCATTAGCGCGCCTCCCAAACACCACAGCTTCCAACAATCAAATTCACATCATGGCCGGGGCAAGTAATTAAATTCTGCAGGCATCAGAGCATAGAATAACGAATGACTATTGTTAAGGAAGCTGAGGAAAACAGAACGAGGCTGGAAACGGACTAGGCTTCGGGTGCCCAGTCTCAGAAACAGCTGAGGGTGGGAAATGAGAGCAAGTGGGGTACAGACTGACCCCCTCAGCTGGCATGACACGTGGGGTAGCGGGTTCAGTCCTGGAGATGCAGTCAAAAGTCTGAGTTTGAGGCCTACTCTGTGCTTATAAAATATGGGCCTCAGTTTCCCCATCTGTGAAATAAGAAGGCTGGACCAGGAGTCACTCTCCATATGTGGTCCCCATACCAGCAGCATCGGCATCACCTGGGAATCTGCCAGAAATGCAGATTCTCAGGTCCCACGTCATACCTACTGAATCAGGAACTGTGGGACTGAGGCCTGGCAGTCTGCATTTAACAATCACCCTCCAGGTGATTCTGAAGCATGCTAGCATTTAAGAACCACTGTTAGATAATATTTAAAGATGAAGCCACAAACTCAAATACATAAAGGGCCAGGGAGGAAAAAAAAAAAGGAGCCCAGGAGGTAAAACACACTGGACAACGGCAGGGACCGCGGGGCAGGGGCAAGAGGGTGCCCAGCTTGACAGGGCTGGCAGCTTCTCAGCTGTAGCTACTGCCAAGGATGAGCCCCCTGGATCTGGGACTGTCAGGGCTTCTGCTTTTGCAAGAGGAACACAAAATTCTGATTTTATATGAAATCTCCAAATTTTAAAATGTGGATTTAATTTTTCTTAACATGGTGAGGACCAAGAAGACCACACTTCAGAGTCAAATTCAGTCATGGACTACCATTTTGCAGCCTCTGTTCTGAGTTTCTCTCGACCTCCCTCAGGACACACTCCACCCACTGTGCTCTTGCCCTTCTGCAGACCATGAACTCCCAAACTCCTATTCATAGGAGGCAGACTCCTCTTCATCCTTCAACACCCAACTCCAGGGTAACTGCCACCATGAATTCATTCTCAACTCTGCTCCACTTTCTACCTCTCCACTAAGGCAGAGAAGAATTAAACACAAGCCAAAGAATTGACACAGAAGAAGATAACACAGAGGAGGAAGACATGGACAAGTTAAAAACAGGCTTTTCCCACAGAGGAGGAATTGGGACCCCTCAGAAGTTACCCTCCTGCTGCTTGAAAAATCTCTCAAATAAGAATACCGATTCCATTTGACCAGAATCTAATAAATTGAAGAGTTTAGTATAGTAAATATAAAGAAACACAGATTCAGAATTCATAGGCTAGATTAAAAAACAGTTGGTACACAAACACCTTGGGCTTTTTGCTGACTGAGAGTTCAGAGAGTGTCAATCATGTGATAAACTATCATCAAAAAGAAAAACACCTTCAAAGGTCTCATTATTAGAAATAAAGTGTCTAGGCAGCCCTGCTCTGCTCTGAGCTGGTCAGACCTTCCTAGAGTATCCTGACTGGTTCTGAATATTAACTTCTAAGGTCAGAGAAGACCTGGAGCATGATGCACAGAGAGTGACCGAGGTGGCGAGAGAAGGCAAAGCCAAGTGACCGGTCATCTGGTCATCACATGGGGAGAGAGTAACTATGAAAGAGCCCCTCATCTCCCCAAAAAAGGAAAATAGGAAGTTGGAGTAGAGCTGCAGAGACTGGGTTCTAGTGACATCTTTTGTGCACCTGAAGTCTCCCTGTGCCTGAAGCTAGGTTTCTTTCTGGAAAACGGGTGAGATCCCTTGGTTCCTAAATACAGGGCAAGCTGGATTTCTGCTGTCTGCAACCATAAGCATCATGATCACTACAGTAGCCTCTCAGATCTTGCTCAGTTTCATTTTGCAATGGCTGATCCACACCTCACACTTAAATCTAGGGCCATGTGCATGAGCTTCTGGAATCTGAAATGGTCCTCTAGTCACAAGAACAGATGCCATTGCAAACAGGGACATGAGGAACCATGAAAAGATAACTGTTCACCCAAATTACCAATCACAAAATTGTTCATCTTGTATCAGTCAGAAGCTGGCGGGAAGGGCAGGTATCCGAGGCCCAAGTCAGAAAACAGGCACAGGACAGACACCCAGCCCGGAAACCACTCCCACTTCCTGCAGTCTCACTGCCAGACTGTGTGGCTTGCAAGGTGATCAAGGGATACCCACTCAAGCATTAGGATCCCAGTTCAGGCACGGGAAGGAGCTTCCATTCTTCGGGATCACTGGCGAGCTACCATTTAATGAGCACCTAGTGGAAGCCAGACCATTTCTACCTGTCAAAGCAGCCCCCTTAAGTAAGCAGTTTTACCGCCTACATTTCCCAGAAGAGAAAACAGGCTGAGAGAGACCTGCCCAGGATGGTCAGTGTGTGGCAGTTCTGAGAAAAACTCCAAAGCCCAGCCATGCTGCCTCCTTCTGGTGATGACGAGGGGCCCAAAGTTACCGAATCTGGGCTCTCCTTGCGGCTTCACAGCACTATCCCACCCCAGGTGTAAAATGGGGAGAGTGGGGGGCCTGCTCCCATCTGATCAGAGACAAGCCTCCACAGTTTTCTGAGGTGGGCAGGAACTATTATTATGTAAAGCATGCAGCCCTGTTCCAAGCTTAGATATAAGCGATGTGACTCAAAGGGGCCAGCCAGCCTCTGGCCGTCTCTCTCCCAGCCCCTGTGGGCTGGGTTGTTTCCTTTGTTCCACAGGCACAGGTCTGGTAACGAGGCAGCCAGGAGCTCAGCTGCAGACATTTTTTTCATTATTTTCCACCCTGTTAACCTCCATCACAAGTGAGGCTGCTGTCAGCCTAAATGAGAACAGAAAAGATTTATCTCACTTGTCCCAGGGCTCAGTTCAGGAAAAAGACCCTTCATTTCCTAAAGGCCTCGGTGACCCTTTCTCTGTGAGTCACTCCCACCCAGGAAAAAAGATGTGACAGCAGCAGCAGGCGGGAGTTGGTAATGCGACCAACAGTCCAAAATTGCAGATGTCTGAATCGCTACAGTTTGGCTTTGCAGAGCACTGTGCAATTTTGTTTTGCACTGTATTTACCTTCCTAATTGTTTGCTTACGCAAATATTAATCTTAGACCACGTTTCATAAACACAGACCCAGGAGGAGACCAGCAGCGGCTTGTGTGGTGGGAGGAAATTAGCCTTCGATTACAGTTTTGCTATAGAAGTCATCCTCAAAGTGGACAATTCAAGCACAGTCCAAGGAGAGAGGATTCTATTTTAAATCAACTTCTCCCCTTTCTTCCAGCAAGCCCAGGTCACCAGATCACTAAAGTTAGCACCTGGCAAGGAGAGATGAGCTGGGTTCTTTTGGTAGCAACATTCCCTGACATTTGCAGTAATAACCAGCCAGCTTTCATGAGCACTTACGAAGTGCAGGTGCTGCTCTCCAAGCTGTACATGAGGGTAACAACCCGTTAACCCTTTCCATTGCCCTATGGGTATTGATTGCTATCCCCATTTCACCAATGAGGAAACTGAGGCCCGGAGCGTCTAAGGAGCAAGCCCAAAGACACACAGCTAATAAATGATGGAACTAGGACTATGAACCCAGGAATTTAAGCATTCTGGACAGAGGCCACACTCCAAACCACTTTGCTAGAATGCCTTTCTCCTTCACGTGCGCCATTTGTCTAACCGTCACACTGCACATGAGAAGTTGTTGATCTCAACCCCATTGGATAGACAAAGAGGATGAGGCTCACAAAGGCTAAAGGACTTGCCCATTTTACAGACAAGGAAGCTGAAGTTCACAGAAGTGAATTCAGTTCTGCCAACAATCACACAATACCTAGCATGTGCTGGGCATCGTGCAAAGAGCTCAGGATACAGAGACCTCAGGACTCCCTCACCCTCAGCTTCTGGACATTTATATGGGTAAGACTTTTCTGAAAGCAATGGGGTCCACTGTCCAAAGCCTCAAAAATGAGCAGGCTTTTGGCCCCGCAGAAACTGATCTTAAGAAAGTAACAGTGGATATGACAAACTCACAGCGGCTTTATCTATAAGAGTGAAATAATGAAAATAAGCTGTGTTCCGTGACAGGAAATTAGTTAAATAAGTTAGGGCACATCTATATAATGACATACCGTGTAATCGTTCAAAATGTTATAGAAATAGATTTATCGATGTGGGAACATTTTGTAATAGAGTTGAATAATGCGTTCGCTGACGCAAGCAGGTAGTAAAATCATGTGTGTATTATGACCTGATTTGGAGAAACTGCGTATGTACATTAGAGAATGTATAAATATAAACACTCTTAGAAAATGTATCTGCACTTGTACATATAAAGAAATTTCTAGGACATCAAGGTGATGAGCTCTGCTAACATTTCATGTGATTTCAATTGGTGTGTGTTCCCCTCCATTTTCCAGATTTCCTACAACGAACATATGGTACTTACCTAACCATGTAAAAGTTTTTATTTTTGAGTCAGTGGCTGCTGCGTCCTCAACACACCTGCCCCCTGGGTCCCTTGTCCCCAAACCATCCGACCTTGGCTAGTACAGTGTTGCCATTGCCAGTCTGGGGCAGAGACCTAGGAGAGCTGGGGCGGCCCATTACCCACCTTTTTGAAAAGTCTGATGACATCCTCACTGATCTGGGAGAGGCGAACGATAACGTTGTTCATAAAGATGTCATTGAGGGTGGCATGGTCTCGGCTCTCCCTCCGAGTCTGATGCAAAACCAGATACCAACAGTTCACAGGTGAGAGGAGATACTGGTCCTTCCTGTGGAAACCAAGACAGTTCAGGTTGGCTACACAGGAACTGTAAACACAGCAGCTTACGTGTGTGTCACCTACGGCTTTTTGACCCTCGTGGCGCCTCGTCAAGGTCAGTTTGTTATTACATGTTTTTCAGCTGGGGAAACAGAGACCACAGCAGCTGAGATGATCCTCCTAGGGCACAGGGCAGTGCTGAGGCCAGAACCCAGGTCTCTGCCTGGAAGTCCTGGGCTGCTGCATTCTCCCACTGGCACTTGCTCCAGGCACCTCTCTCTTCTGGCAAAGAACAAAGAGTGAACACTTCCTTTTCCCATCCTGCCTTCGCCATCCCCTGGAATCTCCTCAGGCATTTAACCCCTTTTCCTTTCCCCAGGGATCAGCTTGTCTCTTGGTCTTCTGGCAGCACATGCCTTTGCCCCACCATGGAGCTGGCAGAAGAGGGGCCTGGAGGGCTCAGGTTCTGTATTTGGGAGAATGGGGTAAGAAAAATACAAGGTGAGTACATGCAAGACAAATAAACCTATGTCCTGCAATGGCTGATAGATTCTTAGCATACTCTAGCTGGGCATGAAGCTAAAACAGGGGTTCTCAAAGCGTGCTCTTCAGAGCACACATCAGCATCGCCTGGGGACTTGTTAGAAGCACAGACACTCTGGTTCCACTCCACACCTGCTGAATGAGACACTCTGGAGGTGGGCCCTGCAAGTTGGGCCTTAACAAGCCCTCCAGGGGATGCTGATGCTCAACCAGGATCTTTATACCATTGTTTCCCAAAGCTTGGGATGCTGATGAAACAGGGGAGATCTGCCTCTGGCCCACAGTGATGCTCCTCGACTTATGAAGGGGTTACATCCAGCCAAACCCATCATAAGTTGGAAATACACCTAACCAGATGCACACAGAGCATCGGTTCTCCAGAGAAGTGGCAGAAGGCGCTGCTCTCCTCCAGTGTGTTCTAAGTACCAGGCACACGGTCCCTTTTGTTCCCCCCCACCCCACCCCGGGGCCTTCAGGCTCTTCTCTCTTCCTGGAACATCTCAGCCCCTTCCTTCTCTTCTCATGGCTGCCTCCTTTTCCTGTAGGTTCAGCTTAAAGGGCACCTCCGGAGAGAGCATTCCCCTGACCATGCGCTAAGGCGATGGTTCTCAAAGTGTGGTCCCTAAACCACCTCATCAGCACCATTAGGGAAATACAAGCTCCCAGGGCCACCCCAGACCACTTGTTCAGAAACCCTCGGGGTGGGCCCAGCATCCGTGTTTTAACAAGCCCTCAGGTGATTCAGACACATATTCAGGTTTGAGAACTTCTGCCTCGAGGGATTTCCATCCCTCATCCCTCACCCCTCACCTTACTGTGAGCTCTTTGAGAGCTGAGACCGCTATAGTCACCACATTCAGTGCTCAGCAACGTGCCTGCCCCAGAGTAGATGCTACTGAAGAGAGAGAAGATCACATCTGTCCTGGGTCTTGAAGGATGAGTCGAAGTTTTCCAAATGGTCAGAGAGAGAATGGAATTGTGGGTACAGATACAGTGAAGTAGCTCGGGAGAGCTGGAATTCTGAGTATGTTAGTGGAGAACTCTAGGACAGGAAACTGGAAAGGCAGGTTAAGGGTCCTATGTGGGGTGGGGGTGGGGGACAGTAATTGCCAGGCTAGAAGGCTGGGACTTTATGTTCTAGGCCACATATATAGTTCTCAACCTAACCTGCAAGCTAGAAGCACCTGGGAAGTTTTTTGAAAACACCAAGATCCAGGTTCCGCTCCATCCAAGAAGATTAAATCAGAATCTCTGGGGATAGAGTTTAGGACTGGTATTTTTTAAACACTCTCTGGAAGATTCTAATGTGCAGCCAGAGTTAAGAATGTCTGCTGCAGGCTGCTGGGAGTCATGGGCGTTATTGAGGCAGAGGCATGATATCACGAATGTGTGTCTTAGAAAGATCCCTGAGGGTAGATGGGAGGATGGAGGGATGGGTGGGTGATGGATGTGGGCGTAGACATGGGGCTGGAGGCAGAAGGTCCAATCAGAAGGTAACATTAGTTTGGAAGAGAGATGGTGAAGCCTGGGCTGTGGCCTTGGGAGACTCCTCAGCAGGGGGCCAGATCCCCTTGGAGACTTCCCAGAAACAGGACAGGAGGGAGGAGTGCATGGTGATTCTGAAGTCTGGGTCACAGGCAATTGGGTGGACGCCGATGACATGAACTGAGATAAGAACTGGAGGGGAGAAGTGGGTTTGGGCAGAAAATACATCACTTATCTCATTTTTCACCGCTTCCTCGGTGGTGATGGAAATGGCAAGATGAAGGGAGAGATGAGATAATTGAGCTGTTACCTGAATTACTTGAGGGGTTTAGCTCAACCTGGGAAGCAAGATGTGAACAGCATCAGGGAATTACATGCGCAAAATGTAGGGAAGTCTCAGCCAGAAGGTGAATTTCAGAGGGAAGGAAAAGACAAGTGATAGGGTGACGAAGTGCTGGGACCGTTTGGGGACCATTAACTAGGTCATCAGGCCAGAGAGAAGAGATAAAAGGAAGGGCAGGAGGGGCAGCACTGTTCTTATCAGAAGCTGTGGGACAGAAGACAGTGCGGTCTAAGACAGAATTGCAGGAGGCCCAATGAGCCTAGGCAGGAAGAATTTACCCGAGAGCAACCGAGGACTTGCGAAAATGAAGTGAGCAGCTGCTGGGAATGTTAAAGGGCCTGGCTCACTCTGGCTTTCATTCACTCCTGGTCTCTGTGTGCAAGCGCTGGGTGCAACTAGGTGTAGTTGCAGCCATCCCCAGGGCTTCGAGATCCTGCCCAGAGGTCTTCCTCTCGAGTAAGGGAGATGCAGGGAACAGAAAACAAAGACATAGCCCATAAATGTAGTCACGAGAGGAGGCTATGGAGTGGAGGATGGCCACCTTGTCCAGATCTGGTGGTGAGGTGGCCATGGATGGCTTCCTGGAGGAAGCACTTGCTAGACTGAGAACTAAAGGCAGGGCTGGAGTTTCACAGGCAGGAGCTTTCTAGGTGGAGAAATATGATGACCAAAGGCCCAGAGAGAAACAGGAGAGGGCATGCTGGTGAGCTGGATGTCGGGAGGGGGCCCAGAGATGCTGTCCTGGGGTGGCAGTGAGGGCAGCCAATGAAGGCGGAGTCTTGGGCAGCAGCCATTTGGCCAAGGGCCCTGAAGGTCCTTTAGAGTTCAAGCTTCATCCTGAGGTCGGCAGGGAGCTCGTGAAGGATTTAGAGGAGCGGGCCCAAAGGGTAAAGCGTCACTTCCAGGCTCCCACTCTGATGGCTGGGCAGAGCATGGGCTCAAGGGGGCCGAGAGAGGAGCAGCAGGATTCAAGAAAGACAGAAGGAAATGGACAGGAGTCAGAGGTCGACTGGATGGGGCTGGGCCTTGGAGTTTAGAGAGGGAAAATGAGGTCCAGCACAACTCCCAGGTTTTCTGGTTTGGACACCTGGGAGAATAGAGGTGGCCTTGGTGAAGATGGAGAGGAGCAGGTAAGGGTGGAGCATGGAGGAAGGCCAATGAGTTCAAGTTGAGCATGATGTGGAAGGGCTGTGGAACATCCACAGAGATCTCTGGTCTAGAGAGGCAAAGGCAGAAGCCGGCAGCGATAGCTGAATGATATCTGAAACCACAGAATGACCCGGAACACTTTACAAATGCCATGGCCACAGGGCAGAAGAGGCAAATCTCCAGGAAGCCTGGCGAGGCTATGGCGGGAGGGCTGGGGCAGGGCCAGGTCACAGCATGCCTCCCCTCCTGGTGACCTGAAAGAGGTTAGGACAGGATGATGGGCAACCTGACCTTCTCTGAGGAGATGCCGTTTCAAGCCTGCCATCCAGCCAGTGGCCCCTTCTTTAGGTCCATCCCCACATGAGAGATTGCTGGTTCTGTTCCTCTCACCTTCTGCCAGCCCTGGCTCCCCTCACGTGGGGCAGCTCGTTTGTGGTCTAAAAGGCTGGGATGACTACCCACAGCCAGCATCAGGAGCGGAGCTGGCTGCTCTAAGGAAAGCTGGCACCTGTGGCCTTGACCACAATGGCACTGGGTTCTCATCTCACCAGAAAGAAAAAAGAAGGGCCGCAGGTGGAACCCAGCAAGGGAAAACAGAAAGACTCCTGGCCTTGGGCATGGGTGTTCACCTGTTTCTGCCACCCTAGCTGTGGCACTTGATGTCGGTCACCTATCCCCACTTGAAGTGTATAGTCAACCATGGGGTTAAACACCGGAAAAGAGCTCTGCGGTCATTCCTCCGCAGTGGTACATTCAGTACATTTGGTTGAATATTTTGTAAGGACACAATCTTGAGTACTACAGACACAGGCCCGGCCTCCACGGAATGGACAGTCTTGTGGAGAGGAAGACATCCCTTGGAAGTCCAGAAATGTGGGTCCCAGAGGTGCGAAAGAGGAGGGGGGCCCCGTGTTAGGAAAGCCCACTTCAAGTGGACTGGCCTGACTTGGGGGTCACTGAAGTGTCCCTGAGGAAGAGATTGTTAGGCTAGACGTGTGAGCTGCGGGGAGTGGGTTCCAGGCAGAGGGAACAGAATGGGCAAAGACTCCCTGTGGGTCGGGGGAGCTTGGTGCATTTAAGGAACTGAGCAAAGGCCAGTGTGGCCAGAGCAGGAAGCAAGGTAGAGGAGGCAGAGGGTGCAGGGTGAGGCTGGAAGGGATGCAGGGTCGCACAGCCTCCAGCCCATCACCATCTGGATCACATTGGGACTACAGGAAGAAGCCCCAGGCTGCAGACAATAGAGCTGGACCCCAGCCTGCTGGGACAGACCTTCGGCCTGCCCTTTCTGGGGGGTTACTTGTCCCTTTTGAAAGTGGAGCCCCTTTGACCTGAGACCCAGCTCTGCATGCCAGCAGTCATTTTTGTCTTCTGCAGCCTCATTTTTGGAAGACGTCAAAAGAAACCCGGGCCAGCTCTCAGCTCAGGCACTTTTCGAGAGGCGTCTGCTCTTCCAATCTTCCATCCAAGCGTCGACCCAGCAGGCAGAAGCT